TTTTTCTTTTAAATTATAATAAAATTGTCCTCAAGCTTCTGTCTGAGTCAATACTAAAAATTATTTTATTAACGAGACTAAGAAGCCCAAAAGGGGACTCCAATTTATAATCTTTGTTAGCCCAACTAACAAAAGACCAATTAATATGCCTGATCACAAAACCAAAAACATATTTTTATAGTAACTTCAGACTCCAAACTCTAATTTCATTTTCTTCCTTTTAATGTCCTAAAATACTTATTAGATTTTTCACAAATTTGATGTTACTAAATTATACCTAATAAATTACCTCCTTATTCCTGTTCTTCTGTGAAAGCTACTTCAACATATTTTGAACTGTTCAGTGAATCCTTCAGTGTTTTTATGTGTGGTCAGAGTTAAACATGCTAGGCAAGTATTCCATCAATGAGCTACAGCCTCACACTCTTTCTGTTTCTTACTCTTTCCTCTTTTATTCTTCCCATATTTCCCTACCCTCCACTAACCCCCACATCCTTGTTTTTAAGACAAGATCACATGTAACCCGGGGTGGCCACAATATAGTCTTGAACTCTGAAAATGCTATGTAGCAGAGAATGACCTGGAACGCTTGGAAGCATTCATATTCTAGGTATGCTCCACCACACCCAGCCTCTTTTTATTGTGTTGTGTTGTGTTGTTTTGGTTTTTAGACAGGGTCTCCCTGAAGTGCCAGTTGGCCTGGAACTTACTATGTAGAACAGGTTTGCCTGCATCTCACAGAGATCTGCCTGCCTCTGCATCCCAGTGCTGGAATTAAGGGCCTGTACCACCCCACCCTGACTTTTTACTTTTTATTTTGAGATAGGGTCTCACTAAGTATCCAGGCCAGCCTTGAACTAACTTTGCAGCTCAGGCAGGCCTTAAGTTTCTAATATTTCTGCCTTGGTCTCCTGAGTAGCTAGAACTACAGACCTGTGCCACTGGGTTTGGAAGCAGTTGTTTTCTAATTCTACCATCTTCCAAAAGGCTAACAACAGGGCATACCTGCCCAGCTATTTCTTAAGAGTAGGAAGAATTGGATAGTACATACTGCTTAATTATCATATGTGTTATGAGTATTTTGTGAAATAGGACAATTTTCAAG